AAAGTCAAGAGGAAGAAACCGAGGATGAGGATGAGGATGAGGATGAGGATGAGAATGACGATGACGATGATGAAGATGAAGAATAAGAAGAAGACTTTTGTTTTCCACATAATTAGGACAATTATGTCATATAATGTTTATTTTATAACTAGGACATATTGTATCCAGATTTGTTATATGTAATGTTATTAAGTGTTTTTACTTAATTTGATATATGTTTTTACATCATTATTTATGTCTAATTTTATTTTCCTATAGATATGACTACAGGAGGGTCTAACTCACCTAAACCTTCACCCAATGGTGGGAATAAAGGGAAAGCAATAGCGAAAAAAAGAGGCCACGTTATGTATTGAAGGTACTTCCCACAGACATACTGTCTCCACTTGCTACACCTCATCCATCACCATCCTCTATGGTAGGGTCTACACCATCCCCTTCTGTTATGCCTACTATACCCACACCACTGACAGCACCATCCCCTTCTGTTGTGTCTACTATACCCACACCACTGACAACACCATCCACTTATGTAGTACCATCTATACCATCCTCAGCCCCGATTCTGACACCCACCTTATCCCCAGCCCTAGTTGTGGGACCCAACTCATCTCCATCAGCATCCCCTGCTACGATGGCAGGTCCTTCCACCTCGCAACAACATCCACCTACACAGATTCCATCCCCACAGATTGCAGTTAGAACATCACAGTCTAGTGGGGATGTCGATTCAGAGATTGCAGAAGATGACCCTGCTCTCCATGATCGACCCATGATTGAACCTTATGGTCGAGGGTAATATTTATATTTAATTATCAATATATATTATAACTAAGTTTTAGTTCTTTTGACTATATATACATTGTATAACTTTTTCTTTGAAATTAGGTTTCTTCCGTCTAGGGTTGCATCACAAGCTGTTACAAAGAGTATTAAGCAGCAATTCCTTCAACCTTGGGCGACATGGGGAGTGGTTCCTAATAGTGATAAGGAGTCTTTCTGGCAACGTTTTAAGGTAACTAATTTTCTAGAAAATAAGAGTGTGTTTTAACACAAAAATTTTAAACAAAAGTGATTAAGATTTTACTGAGAATGTATGGAGGAATCTTTCGCATATGAGATGTGGGAAGCTTTCTTGAAATAGGTTATTAGCCTAAATGAAATGTATCTGTCAAGACTTTTTCATCCCTCTTTTTTGTATGTTTGAGTGTGGCACTTGGATCATCATCTCTCGTGAGTATCTATATGTGTGGTTTAGTCTAAACTTTGTTAAATCTATAGACTAATTAGGGATAGTCTATGAGCATTGTGAACTACATGTCTTCCACATCATTGTATCTAGACTCTATAAACCAAACAATGAACGAATCTTAATGAATTAAGAGTTTTGATTTCCTTTATATATATTTGAGATAATTATGTAGGGTAGTGGTGAAGGATTACTTATAGCATGAACTAAAGTTTACGTTTACATTACATGGGAGTTCTTATTATTTTTTCTTTTCATGAATTGTTGATGTTGAAGTGTTTACATTTCTTTAAATTTGACTGTGAATTGCCTTGGAATAATATTTACCTGTCCCCTCCTTGATCTTTTACTATCCATTAAGGGGGTAAAGTCTATTCTTTCATGGTTAATTCAAGGACCTGAAACCAGTGATTTATTGAGGCTAGGGTTTTTTTTGTATGTATTTTGTTTCTCATTGGTTTGATTTTGTTTTAGAAGCATAGGTTGTAATCTACTTGAGTTTTTTTTTTCTGCTCTCGGTATGGAATTAAGGTGATGGAATGAGCATAACAATATCAAACAGATTTATGTAGTATAAAAAACTATTATAGCAATGGGACAGAGTTTCAAAGAAAATAGTTTGATTTACTTGGTTATGCATGCTTTACTTGATAGAAAAATAGTTTGGAACCAAACAGTTTCTTCGTTATAGATGAAATTGAAGATTTGTACTTGGGGTTCCAGTTTATTACTGCGCAAGGTAGATTGCACATGAAATAAATCTCTCCTTGTTTCAGCTGAGATCATTTGATTAATATCCTTCTTGTGATTCAGCATGAGTCATGAAATGCATTTTCTTGGGATGTATATGGGAGCATTCTAATACTTTATGCATGGACACTCACAACACATTTTTTTTTTCTTCAACACAGCCCATTTTATTTGTAGTGAAAGCAGTCATTTGTTTCAAGTGTGAACTACTAATATTGAACTTGTGTGGCAGTATTTTAAATTTGGTTTTTAAAATTTGCGTCTTATGCTAAGGGTAGATTATGGATATGGTGTTAGGCACTATAATGTAATGAGATTCAATGTGAATGCAGTATTTTATGAGCATGACGAAAAAAGTATGAGCCATGACCATCATGATTGTGTAGAGTTGCAGAGGACCATGTAAATGAGATTATGGGAATGGGAAAGAAAAGTATGGAAATGAAAAACATAGTTAATGTTTCTATTTGTATATTTTGAGCACGTACATTAGATAACTCGGTTATTTAGATTTAATTATACCAATTACCATGTTTCTTTCACACTTAGGTTTTTTATTCATATATTTAATATAATTAACACCATGTTTCTTCTTTTTATTTATGTACTTTTTTATATAATTTGTACAATAATGTCTACTTACAGATGAAGGTTCAATGGAGACCGGAACATGAAAATCAAATAAAGAAGAATTTTCATACCAAAGCATCTCACGAGACTTAGTGAGATGTTTCGGGATGCAAGAGTTGCTTGGCCAAAGGCCAGATTGGATTGGAGAACATGTTTGGAGCAGGTTACTAGAACATTGGAGCTCACCCATATATCGTTCCAAATGTGTGCAGGCCCAAAAGAACAGAGCATCCGAAAGGGGGAAGCCTACACACAGGTGGCTCCATCACCACACATGAACATGCCATGCGTATGGTAAGTCTTTTAAACATATATTTAGAATTATATAAGGCTAAATAAGTTGTATATAATTCTTATTTTGTCAATGTAATGCAGGCAAAAGAGCTTGGGAGATCAGTGTTTGTTGATGAGATCTTCCAGCAGACCCATATAAAAAAAAATACAGGTCATTTTGTTGATGAAAGGTCTAGGAAGACACATGTAAGTTTCTTCACATTTGATTTATTTTATGATAAGTAAAGTTGATCATATTACAACATTTCTTTGTTTGTACTAATAGGAGGAATTTCATACTAGACTTTCACAAGCTAGGTCATCTGCTGGTTCCTGTGTTGGCGAAGCAGAGTCTACTCCTACAGACTCTGCAGAGGATGATCTTATTAGGTCTCGCTGTTGGGTAGACACTGTTGGAGGGAAAAATAAGGGAAGATTATATGGAGCTGGACAACTTGGTCATTGTTATCAGGGTGGGTCTGATATTCTCAAGCATCAGACTCAAGCAGCCAGCTCCTCTGTTAATGTTGAAGAGATGAATGAACTGAGGGAAGAGATTCGTCGAACAAGGGAGCATAATGAGCGACTAGAGCACCAATTTCGGGAGTTTCAATCACTTGTGGGTGCAGTCGCTCAATTCCTACCTCCCGGTGCACAATCCCTCATTCAGCAACGCCAACAGGATAGTCAGCAACAACAACCTCAACAAGAAGAAGATAACCCAGAACAACAGGACAACCCAGAACAACAGGATAACCCAGAACAACAACGACAACAGTCTCCTGATTATTCCCATTATTAGATATTTTATCAGATAATATTGTATTTGACATTATTCTACTTTCTAACCATAGTTACTCTTACACGTTAAGTTTATTTATAAATAGTTTGAATTATATGTCATTTGTTTGAATTGAGATTATTTTTCCTATGTTTAATTTCAATTGAGGTTATTTGTCCTATATTTAGTCCTATATTTATGTTGTTATTGATCTGAAACGATTGAAGCTGGATTTGGTGTAGCGTTCACGATATAAAATGTGTGATATGCAGGAAAAATGGTTTATTGAAAAATTGAAATGCTTCAGGAAGAAATTTGGATATTACAGACGGATTTCGAGCGGATAAATCCGTCGGTAATGACCTACGGCGAGTTCAGACGGATAAATCCGTCGGTAATGACCTACTGCGATTCCGACGGATAAATCGGTCGGTAATTACCTACAGCAGTTTCGAGCGGATAAATCCGTCGGTAATTACCTATGACAGATTCGACGGATAAATCCGTCGGTAATTACCTACTGGCAGATTCGACGGATAAATCCGTCGGTAATTACCGACGGGTTATTTTAATCCGTCGGTAATATTTACCAACAACACAATTTCCGACGGAATTTTGTCCGTCGCTAATCCGTCGGTAATATGTATTTACCGACGGATTTTTGTTGTTATTGACGGATTTTGTCCGTCGGTAATTCCAGTTTTTCTTGTAGTGTACAAAAGTTAATACTTTTTTTTTTTTAATTGTTAATTTTTGGTACATAGTGTTTTGAAATTGTATGTGAACGGTATTGTAGACTAATAGAAAAACTTCTAAAAGTAAACTAAAAAAAAAAAGCTATTTTTTTTATTTGATCATTATAAACAGGATAAATATCCAAATTGGTCATCAATGTGTGAGATGCATTCACTTTAGTTTCGAAATTAATAAAAACTTAAAAAAGAATAATCTTGAAAATGTAAACTGATATTATTTTAGTATAAATTTGTGTGACTTAAGTGATAATTCTAATACATTTTTTAAGATTAAAATGATAGTTAACAATTGATTTTAAGAATCATATAAGCTTATTTTTGAATTTTCATAAACTGAAGGGTCTTATTTATAACTATTTTAAACATATTACTGAAAAGTAAATAACAGATAATGCATTCTACTTATGTTTTTTTAGGACCTCAAGATACTAATTAACATTTACATATTTCATGTGTTATAATATTTTATAATATTATTTAAAGAGATCTATAATTAAATCTCTATCTCTTGTGGTGTTATTATGTATTTTTGTAATTCATCACTGTAAACACACACTCATACATGCAGATGGGTTCAAGGATGAAAGCGGCAATATTTGATGAGCAAACAAACAAGGCTCTGAAGAAATGGCACATGGCTGTGAAGAAGAAGCAGGCAGTGGTGAAGCTAGGAAAGTCCAATGCAGAAACAGTAGATAGAAGCCCCAGTCCTTCAACTTCGGCAGTGCACCCTTCTGGGCCTACACTTCACCGTTTCAAAACCACCGGCCACTCCACCCGCTCCTCAGCGTACGAGGAGCAGGATCATGAATATGATGAGTCCGATGTTGAGATGTCTCCCGAGTCCTCCCAAACAACCAGCTTCATTGTTAGAGTGGATCATGCTGGTCACCAAGAACCACTAGAACATGCACACCGTAGTGAGGAAGAAACCGACACTAGTGAAGAAGTTGAATTTTCATTTATCAAACCGAGTGACCCTGTGGAAAAACCATCACATGGCAGCATGTAATGGTATATTCATCTTCATTTTTGTTTTATTTTCTTTATAACTCTTTCTCGATTATTGTACACCTTCATACTTAGAGATGGATTTGTAAATTCTTCTTCTGTATAATTCACTTTTCTCCTGTCGCCATGTCAAAAAACATGGCCAAGGAAGAAGAAAGAAACCAAAGTAAAAAGTATAAAAGATCATTACAAAAGTAAAACATATTCTTTTTATTGATATATTCACAAAGATACAAATATATGAGTCTTACGCAGAAGGGCTTAAGATCAGAAAAACTAACTCACAAAAATCAGCATATGCAATAATAAAATTTATGTCGTAATAAGATATTGACAACTAAGATAATTGAACTCGAAGGTAATCAACTGGGGTTGTAATGATCACTTAATGTCTTGTTTATTTGCGGGATTGATGGCAATCATCGTTTTGTCTACAAAAAAGTCAGTGAACTGAGAAAGTATAGAAGAAAAGGAAAGGAAACAGCAGCGAAAATGACCATCTCAGCATGCGTTGAATTTGAAGACAAAATTAGGTGAAGAATCAAATATTCACATTTTATGAGGAAGAAGTGAATTAGATGCTAAAGCAATGTGCAACTTTTTGTCAAACTCTAAAAGCTGAGGAAAACGTTATGAGGTTACCTTCTTGACGTGCTTACTCTCAGACCCATCATGATGGATAAATCATTATAAAGTTACTTCCACGCACATTCACAATGTGATATGCGTCCAGGTGGAAAATTTGAGTCAAGGAAACGCTGCGGGAGGTGAAATAAGTACAGTGAGAACTGTGTAGTTTGGTGGACCTTTCTTTACAAAAATCTTCATATTAATTTTAGCAGTTTATGTGCTAACACTTCAAAGGTTAATTATTTATAGAAACCATTTACACAAATTACTAATAATGTAATCTCTGTAGTTTTTTAAAGGAAAATAAGTTAAAAATAAATTGGTAATATAATGTCATGCAAATATAATGTTTTTGAAGAATGTTAAAGTCATAATAAATTCATAGTTCCTAATTTTGAAATTATAAAAAGTAGTTTTCAGTGAGAAAGGTAATGTAGAAAAATAAAAACGTAAAACGTATGCCAAATCTAAAAAGGCTCAATATAAAATATTGTGAATTTTATAAAAAGATATTAAATCCTAACTTGTGGATAATACAAATCTCAGGATCAAATTAAATGACCGACGATGAATGATGTAATTGTGGGGTGTTTGAATCTCTATAACTTTCTTTCTTCCTCCCATCTTATTGACATGTTCATTTATGGATATATATGTCGACCTTATCTCCAAATTATTGATTTTTTTAATTCATATTCAAATTTTATTTCTGACCAGAATATGTGTAGTGTTTGTTAGTCCGTAGCCATGGGAGGCTGTTTAGGATTTCACTTCACCCTTTTACTTTCTTGTGTGTCCTCTCCTGCATTCCACACAAAGTGCCAACCCTTGTCCTTCACCAATCACTTCCCTCCAAACGAACTAATAACTCCAACAAATAAATTGAAATTAATTCACACCACACTCTCTCTTAACAAATAAATATATAAATGTTGTTGCTTCCCCTCTTTACTGTTATTATTATTGTTATAGGAAACATCCTGAAAGAGGAAGCTACGCTGCTTTTTTCTTGCTGTGTCACGCATCCACTGCCGAATCCAGAAACAAATAATGGGACTCACGTTCCCTTTAATCTCTGTCAATCATTGATTTGGCGATTGCAACATTATTATTATTATTATTATTGTTTATGTAAGATACGTTGTGAACTGAAAAGGAGTTTCAGACCTTACCCCACCGTGCCAGACACTCGCACATGTTTAACGAGCCTTAGGCTTTGTTTGGATGGAGTGATTTGAGAGAGTGAAAATGAGAGAGTGGAAAAGGAGGGATTTGAAGAGAAATGGAGATGAATGTAAAGTAAAAGAAAAGTTTATGGGAAATTGTGAATGATTTGATTGATATGAGATATAAAAATTATAATTTTATGTTGATTATTTAAGAAAATTACCATTTTACCCTTTGTATAAAATAAGGTTCAATTCAAATGATTATAAATATAAAATTTTAATTAATTATCCATATTTTAACATTGATTATATATTTAAAAGAAAAAACAAAATTAAAAGTGTTTGTAATTGGAAACAAATTTAAAAAATTAACTTATTTTAGATAGTTATTAAAAATTATATAAATAAACAATTACAAAATTATGTACATTGCATATCCATATTCAAAAAATATTGACATATTAAATAAAATATTTGACTAATAATTAAATAATTATAAAATATAAAATAATAATTAATATTGATTGATAATAACAAATAATTATGAAAACTAATAATATAATTGTACATTATTATTTAAAACAAATATAAAATACAGTGAAAATAGAATAATAATTAAAGGAAAGATTACTAAAATTATAAATCTATGCACACTAATGCTCTTCAAACAAATAATTATAATGTTATCCATCTTTTGCAGTCAAGTCCTCCAGTTCAGATCATTCAATCACCTCCATTCAAGAACATGAACAATCTGGAGAGACGAAGATGTGAGGGCAAGCCAAAAAGTCGTCGAACATGTGATGGGTGAGTACACAAATGATTATAACACCGAGGCATAAGTTGCTCGTCATTTAGGTACAAGTTTTCAAATGATCGATTATTTTGCCAAAATGATCGATCACTTTTCCAAAACCTCGACACTTTAGATAGCGGTTCACCTGGAACCCCTATCACATGTTCACATATGATAGCGGTTCCAGAATAACTCGCTATCTAAAGGCTCCGAATTTGAATTTATTTTAATGTATAATTATATATATATATATATATATCTATATACATATTCTAAAATATAATTTATATTAATTACTATAATATAAAATATATATTCCACAATATTACTAAAATTTATATATATATTATAGAAATGAAAATAAATTATATTTGAGAATATATAATTTTGATAGAAAATTTTATATATATATATATATATATATATATATATATATATATATATCTAAAATATAATTTAACATTTTGAATTCTGAAAGGTTTTCTCTAATAACAAATTAAAAAACATAATATTCAAAAAAAATATTTTAAGATTCAGTCTCGAGGTTGTATTTCGCTCGAGCGATTACACTCTCGCTCGAGCGAAATACCATCCTGATCGATCATAACTTGAAATGATCGATCATAATTGGAGGATATCATAGTGGTTCCTCTCAGAATCGCTATTTAAAGTATATATTAGATAGCGGTTATGGTTTAACCGCTATTACAAGTTATATTTCGCTTGAGCGACATTAAACTCGCTCGAGCGAAGACACCTGCACATAATTTTCATCCTCGGGTTATTTTTCGCTTGAGCGAAACTGATCTCGCTCGAGCGACTAGCAAAGTATGATATCGCTCGATTTATTTTAATCGATTAAAACACGTTTTAATCGATTAAAACCACTTTGGAAGTTAGGATGATCGATCAGAATGTAACTATGACCGATCAAAGTTGGTTATGATCGATCAGAATTGAATTATGACCGATCAGACTTATTTCAATCGATTAAAATGACTTGAAAATTTTTTGTACAGAGTTTCAATCGATTAAAACGAATTTCAATCGATTAAAATGACTTAGAAAAAATTCTGTGCAGTTTTTAATCGATTAAAACTTCTTTGTATCAGTTAAAATAACTTGAAAAGTGTTATAAGAAAGTTTTAAACTGAATCAATCGATTAAACCGCGAATCAATCGATTAAATCACTCTTAGAAAATGTTTGTAAAAAGTTTTAACTGATAAAAACTTGGTCGTATCAGCTAAAACAATTCTGTTAAAGAACAAGAACACATTAATGGGTTGAAAGGACTTTTAACAGATTATAACGGCTATTTCAACAGATTAAAACAAACTTTGAACAGATTAATTAATGCAGTTTTTTCTGAAAACTCTTTTATAAACAGAATTGCTTGGAACTTTTATCATATCAGTTTTTAAAAAAACAAAGCAATCAATTTAAGCAACTGTTAGCATCCTTTTTCCAAGAAAGAATTACAACTGGAAGTTGGTTCTTGGTGGAAAGGTTGAGTGCAAGAACATGAACAACTGGGAGAGACGAAGATGTCCCATATATCTGACTCCGAATGTTGAAATGTTGATGATCGTCTCATCACATTAACTTGAGATAAAATAATTACAATATAATTTTCTACTTTGAGAATTAATAATATAATTAAACATCAAAATTGAGAATACTCTTATACATTTTAAACTCTTTTGGATAAATTTTGTTTCCCTAATTTTTGATAAAGTTAATTTTAATATTTAAAATTATTTAACATTTTGAATTCTGAAAGGTTTTGTCTAATAGCAAATTTAAAAACATAATATTCAAAAAAATATTTTAAGATTCGGGTTGTATTTCGCTCGAGCGACTATACTCTCGCTCGAGCGAAATACCATCCTGATCGATCATAATGTGAAATGATCGATCATAATTGGAGGATATAATAGCGGTTCCTCTGTAACCGCTATCTAAAGTGTATATTAGATAGCGGTTAAGGTTTAACCGCTATTATAAGCTCCTTTTAAGAACCTTGTTGCGTCTGGGGTTGTGTTTCGCTTGAGCGACTATATCTCGCTCGAGCGAAATTTGATTCTGATCGATCATAACGTTAAATGATCGATTATAATTGGAGGATATAATAGCGGTTCCTGTGTAACCGCTATCTAAAGTATATATTAGATAGCGGTTAAGGTTTAACCGCTATTATAAGCTCCTTTTAAGAACCTTGTTGCGTCTGGGGTTGTGTTTCGCTTGAGCGACTATATCTCGCTCGAGCGAAATTTGATATAATAGCGGTTCCTCTGTAACCGCTATCTAAAGTGTATATTAGATAGCGGTTAAGGCTTAACCGCTATTAGAAGTGCTGTTATAATAGCGGTTAGGATTTAACCGCTATCATATGTTGCAGGGTAACTGCGACTTTTCTTTACTTTCATCTCTTTTCTTCGCACCTCAGCGAAGAAACTCTCTCTCTCATCTCCCCCTTTTCCTCGCCTGCATTTCGTCGCAAATCAGTTCAAACAAACACAGCGTTAGTGCCATGCTTCCCTCACCAAAGCAAACGCACTGCCTCAAATCCTCTCCTCTTCCCCACTTTCTCTCTTATATTATCATATAACCCTGGGGTTATAAGGTCAAAAACTTATACAACCCATTACGGGGACATTTTTATGTGCAATCAATTCCACTCATCGTTAAAGCTTTTTTTCTTTCTCTCCCAGCAAAAGGGGCAACAAATTCAATTCCTTCTATGTGAAACCGAATTTAGCTGAAGAGATGGACTGGATTAGTGTTTAGATTAGACATCTCTCTACTCGCCAAAACCAGACCCTCTGTTTCAGCTCAGGTTTACATCAACTTTTTCTAAAGCCCGTTACTTTCCACCTGTATCCAGAATCTATGATCTTCTTGTGAAGGCAACATACATTTCACATTTATAAAACAAAACCTTTTTCTCGTGCCATCAATTTAGCCAACTTATGGATCTCATTTTCTTTTCCACTTTCACATTTCTCCAAATTAACCTGCTTAAATACATGCTTTTACTCTCTGTTATTCATCATTTTTTAAGTATTGAATATCCAAACAGGAAGGCGAAGTTCGTGAATAACAAGAATTAAAAAGACAAAAAGTACAATGAAACCAAATATAAAAAAATAGAATATATAGGTTTTGTTTTGTATGTACATGCAGCGTAAATGTTCAGTATTAACTGCCCAAGTAGTGTACCGAGTTGCTGATGTTTTCTTCCAAGAAACACGAAAAGAGAGAGAGAGAGAGGACCACTTGCTATATATGGACTCCTATGGGTTATTTTATATTATCAGCACTCTTTCTAAAAACTGTAAACAAAGGTAAACTTGTGGTTTTGAACGCCCACAAGTTGATGACACAATCTACTTGCCAAGATACAGCTGCAAACACCAACCTTTAAATTTTGTGCCGCAATTGGATGCAAATTCATATCTCTTCTCCTTGATTGGTACTCTGTTCCAGTTACAATTTTTAAATGCCCCAGCTCCAGATTCGAATCTATTTGATGGATGGTTTTAAAATTATGTTTCCTCCTTTCTCATAAAACCTTTCTTTATTCTTCACGTCTTTTGCTCAAAATATTAAACACACCTCTAAGGAAAAAATGAAAAAGAGAAAACTGTCATCTAGTAGCATCCCTGGAACCCACTAACTGGTTTTACTTCTAGTTATTACACTTGTTTTGACGAGGGACTCCAATTATCTATTACAGTACATAAGATCAAACCAATTTATACTCAACAGATTAGAGGGAAAAGAAAAGCAGCAAAAGCAAAACAAGTTTTATTATTTTAGAAAAGGGTAGTATAGAAAATTGATATTGTTTGTTCTTGACATTTATTTGATGTGTAGGGGTTAAGAGATAAGGTAAGAAGCATTGAGAGCAGAACAGGTTTGGCCAAGGGTGGAGTTATGTCCACTTTTGTCCCTTACCTCCCCACCACTTGCAGGAGGAAGGGGCCACTTTATTGTACCTACCAAACAAACGAACAACTCATTCACTTCATCTTTCTCTCTCCATCTTTCTTCTTTCTAGTCATGATATTGACTCAAGTCTTCTTGCAACCCTTAATCCCTTATCTTCAACCGCACTAACCTCAATACTTCCCACTAACAACCACAAACCCTCCATCAATTCAACCTATTAATACCTACCCCAATTATTTAAGCCCCCATTTCCTCCCCAAACCCAAAAACCCAAAACTTCAAACCAAAACCCTCTCTTCAATCTCTGTCATCTCTGTTCTCTACTTTCTCATACTTTTATTTCACCCTTGTTTATTTTTAAGTGCTTGCTTAATTTCTTAACCCCTAAGGAGATACTGAGATAGATGACGCGCATACTCAGAATTCTCAAGTCCGCGGACAACGCCAAGGCGGTGACTACGGCGGCGCCGCCGCCGGAGGCGGTCGCCCTTGAGTCCGATTTCGTCGTGATTCTGGCGGCTCTCCTGTGCGCTTTAATCTGCGTGGTGGGACTCGTGGCAGTGGCGCGGTGCGCATGGCTCCGGCGAGGGCCCGGCGGCGGGAACTCGCCGCGGCAGGCTTTGGCGAACAAGGGCCTGAAGAAGAAGGTGCTGCAGTCGCTGCCGAAGTTCGCTTACGTGGACAGCAACCCGAGCAAGTGGGTGGCGACGTCGGAATGCGCGATTTGTCTGGCGGAGTTCACCGCCGGCGATGAGATCCGCGTGCTGCCGCAGTGCGGCCACGGCTTCCACGTGCCCTGCATCGACACCTGGCTAGGATCCCACTCCTCCTGCCCTTCATGCCGCCAGGTCCTCGCCGTCGCCAGGTGTCAGAAGTGCGGCCGCTTTCCGGCCACACCCGCCGGAGCCTCCAGAACCTCAGGAACCGAACCCGAATTGAAGTCCGGAGAAGACAACAATGCCGCTTCTATCAGTAATTGCAGCAATAACAACAGTGATGGCGGTGGAAGTGGAAATCACGTGAATCATCATCACGGCCACCATGTGAACAATGGGTTCTTGCCCTGAACATGATGGTGGTAGTTTTTGTATTTATTAGTTTTTTTTCTTTTTACTTTTGTACGTTTTAATCCCTTCAAGATAGTTGATCAAAGAGATCTAAATTTGGGCACTTTTCCTTCACTTCTTCTTGTATATCTTGCAGGGATTAGTTTTGCGCGCATAGTATAAAATCATGTGTAAAATGCTGTAATTAACCAAATGTGAAAAAGTTGAAAATATGAGAGTGAAGCCCTGTTTTCTATAATAGCATTACATCACTCTTCAGTGGAGCTGAGATTTGAGATTTGGCTTTGGCGTAGGATTGGTTTCAGTACAGTATTTTGTATTTACTTATAATAACATGGTGTCATGAAAAGACTGTTTTTTAAACTTTATTTTTAAAGTATAGATTTTTTTCACCCTATTAAACTATTTTATAAAAAAAAAAACGATTGTGCAAGAATGAAAAGTGAAAACCCTGAGCTTTTTCAATATTGCCGAAATGATTGGAGTCTGGCCTTTTTAATAATTTCAGAAAAAAAAAATGTGTAAAAAAAGACGGCTTTGCTTGTTATTGAGTATTCCTTTTTGCCTTTTTATTGATCAGGGAATGCTGCTTTTTTTTTTCTGACAAGGATAATTTTAGTAGGGAAGAAGGTTCATTATAATAAAAAATTTATCCAAAACTTCCTATTCATGCTTTAATTTAATTTAATGTTGTATTTATTTATTTTTGGAAGGATTAGTATCTTATCTAAGAATTTAAAGTTGTAATTATCTTTCGTAAGAGCTTTTCTCAATTTGTACAAAACAGAAGAGCCTTTTCCAACAGATGAATTGAGATATTTTTACCGAAGGTATCAATTTAGATTTTATGAGTACTTACTATTCATGCACTGATCGGGTAACATTTTATTCTTTTTTTGTACACGTAAGGATTTGTTTCCAAAAGTTAGATCTAGATATTTTAACCAAATCGGTATCATTTTATACAATGCTATTTTTGTGCATTAATTGGGTGATGTTTATTCTTTTGGAAGAATACAACTTACAATAATTACCATCTGTTAGGCTTTTTGTCCTAGTGTTGAATTTAGACATTTAAAAAAAAAAAAAGTGTGACAAACTTTTAATTAATTGCTGTACCAAAAAAATTCAATTAATTTGTTACAGCCATGCCATGATGGTGTTCAATTTGACGATATCCCGAATCTTCGAGTTGCAATGGTGCGCAGGGTAAGGAATGGCATTGATTTTGACGTCTTGACGAGGCAAATTAGCAGGTATAAATTGTGTAGATGTCATATCAATTAAGGAATGTGTTTTTAATATATAGTCAAAATAATGAAATTTAAAGTTGAGACCTAAAATTCATTCTTTTTAAATTTGTTAAACTCATTTTCCTAGTTAAAAAATAAGAGATTGATTATTTTATCAAAATAATACAAAATTATGAAATATAAGCATTATAATTTCAATTTAAAATGTATTTATTCAAGTTACATGCCAGATCTACATCTATAATTTTTTATAAATGAAATTAATCATTAATGTTAGTAATTTGGAAATGGTAAGATATTCATTAAGGTTACGCGAAGGGAGGGATTATTTGCGAGGAAAGGACAGAAATACAATTGAAATTTATTTGTTTGATGCATTTAATTTTTTTTAGGTATATATGTTCCAGTTTATTTTTTTTTCTGTCATATTAGAAGAAAAGCGAACATTTTATAACAGGTTATATTATTACGGAACTTAGAGAATGATAACAGCGTGTGATTGATCATCAAGTTGTATACTTATAAATGACCATATGTTTAAATTCAATATATACTTTGATTCTGAAATCAATTTTTAGATTAGAGAAGGGATCACGATACCGGGAATGAATAATAGAATAAAATCTATTATTATTATTATTTAGATTTTTTTATATAAGGTCTAAATGATAAAAATAAATCGATAATATAATATTAAGTAATAATTAATTTAAGATAATATATATGATACTGAATAAAAATCTTATAGTAAGCATTATTTATATAAAATATTAATAAATACTGATTAGTATCTAAATTTGAACTCTTTTAGAAATTAAGATGGAATGTAATTATGTATTAAAATATTATTGTTAGTGGCAAATCGAGAAAAACGATCGAAATCGAAGGAAAGAAATGTGACTCGATAAGATAAACAAAAATTCATTCGACGTCTAATTAGAAATACGTAGCATATAGCATCGAGAAGCACAATTGAGAATCGAATGAATAATAATCAAATGACTGTTGTCGAATAAAAACTAAGTCATATAAGACCAGGGTTAAAAATGAATCGTAAGCAATTCGAAATTCTCGAAAAATACAGAATCGAGAGTAAAGAAAGCCAATGTGGACATCGAGACTTTGGCCAAATCGTGAAAGGAAGTAAGTCGAATGCACGTATAAAGAGCAGTTTTGAAATCATGGGAAAAAGTCGGAGATCGTGAGAACGTGGGAAACTATAGAAGATAAACCGCCATACGCACGTAGAACGTGGTAGCGATCGGGTTAATCGCTCTTGGAAGGCTTGAAGGATGCCCTATAAATAGAGCAAAGGAGGAAGGAATAAGAGAGCAGAAATTGGCAGAGAACAGAATCAGTAGTGAAAAGTCTACCGGAGAAACGACGAACACCATGAAGCTTCTGGCAATCTGGATTTCCTTGCTCACTGAGTACATTTACCGCTTACGTATTTTCCTTGGTAATTTACTTTGATGCAATTTAAATTCGAGCAGTTTTATGTTTACGTACTCTCGATTCTTAGTCATTTCAATTCAATGAAAGTTTAAGTTTCTGCATTTTCGATTTATTGCCATTTACATTTCCTGCACATTTCGATTTCCTGCTATTTATATTTGCACTATTTTCGATTCCTCGTCATTTATAATTAATGCAAATTTGGGGTTTTCGCACTTTATATTTTCTTGCAATTTAATGTTCCGTTTCTCGATTCGATACTTTACTGCTTTCAGTACTTTAAAATACAAAATACCAAAAACAGTTTTCTTGATATCTTGTGATTTTCGATCCTCATACACGTTTTCGATTGAAAGTCAGACTGCTAGCCTAAGTAAAAAGAACTTACGTGGGAGGATTTCGATTAGGACCAAAACACCCTTAGGATCGAAATCGATCGAAATTCAACCAGAAACAAATTGGCGTGCCAGGTAGGGGGGTCTTGTGTTGAGAAACACAAAATTGGTTAGTTCGAAATTGTATGAGATTAAGGAGTGGGAGAGTCATGAGTCAGAGTTCATCAAATAACCAAGGTAACAGTGAGGGATTAAATGGGTCACACCCACCAAATACTGGGGGGCAAAACCATAATGGGAATATACCTGTAGTATCGACAACTGTGAGCATGTCGATACCTGTGAGTAGTGAACAAAATTCAGGTACATTAGCAAACACCCAAGTAGGATCTAGTACGGTGATACCAAATAATATGCAAACTATAGGAAATCCCACAACCACATATGTAGGGCCACGTATGAGTATAAGACCGCCCGGGTTTTCACTTAATAATGTGAGTGGGGCTGGAACTTCTTCAACGCATAGGAATTCGAGATATAACTTAGGAATGTCCCAAACACTAGGTATGCCACAAAATTTTGGAATCCCTCCGAATTTAGGGATGTCTCAAAACTTAGTAATTCCACAGGATTCAGGGAATGGACAGAATGTAGGCACACAACAGATACCTCCAAATCTAGATCAGAGGGGATACTTAGATCATGGGAGATATGTATTCGATAGAGACTATCATCGATCTAATTTTGATTCTATCGAAAACATGGGTACCGGAATATCTAGTAATTCATTAGGGGTACTAAGACAACAAATGGATGAGAGTAATTTTGAAATGGTGAATATGTTATCACAACAATTGACTACAGTCTTAAATCCATTAGTGCAAAACACTACTGCTAGCTTTGAGATATTAGCAGACCAAATGTCACGAATCTGGGATGCATTGGCAGTGCCTCGACAAACGAGGATAGAAAATCATGCTAATCGAATACTAATATTAATCCCCCATATCTATTGAGAAGAAATAGAAACAATGATCAACAACGACAGTATGGGAAATGAGTATCAACATGTGAGGAATGATATTTATAGGAATTTGAACGAAGGATTTCAAAATATACACAATCAGAATAATATGTTGGGACAAAGGATGAATTTACAAGGGATGGAATTTAGACCACCCAATCAGACATATTTTGTGTCTCCCTTTCCAAATGCGATTCTCGAGACAGAATTGCCTCGAGGATATAAAGTACCCAAATTCACTAAATTTGCTGGAGAAGTTGGTGAATCGACTATCGAGCATGTGGCTCGATATCAGATCGAATGCGGGGATTTAGTGATGAGTGAAGAATTAAAAATGAAATATTTTCCTAGTTCTTTGACTAAGAGTGCTTTTACTTGGTTCACGTCATTGTCACCCAATTCGATATATAATTGGTCGCAATTGGAAAGAAATTTTCATGAGCAATTCTTTAGAGGAGAAACTCAAGTGAGTCTCATCGACTTGATGAATATAAAAAGATACAATCATGAAAGCATAGATGATTATTTGAATCGATTTAGACAAATGAAATCGAGATGTTTCACTCAAATTCCCGAATATGAATTAGTCGGAATGGCCTCTGCAGTTTAGAATTCTCGATTAGGAAAAAACTAGTCAATTTACCATTGAATGACATGGCTCAATTAGCTGATAAAGTGAGAAGAGTGGAACAAATAGAGTATGAGAAACAAAGGTATAAGAAATATGAGAAACCTTTGAAAAAAGAAAGAATAGCATACATAAATGATGTATATGAGACAAATAATATGACAGAAAATGATATTGAGGAAACTGTCGATGAGAAAGTAAACTTAGCAGAACTCAAAGTAGGGGCTCCATATACCTGTAAATTGCTACAAAAGAATGAAGTAAAAGATAAAATGGCAAATCGAACATATACTTTTGATGTAACA